CCCTCCCCCCACCCCCAGGTGACCCATCCACTTTGTTGAGCTGTGTTTTGGTTTGGTTGGTTCTTGGTTTGTTTTGTTTTTTTCCTTGCTTTTGTACCAGTTTTTTAAAAAACCCCTCCCAGCCCCTCCCCACCTGGACTCTGCTCCCTTGTTCCCCCTGGAGCAGCAGAGCAAACCCCTGCAAGGACACACTAATTGGACACTAATTAGCTCAGCCCCCCTCTGGGCTTTGCTCAAAGCCAGGTCCCAACACCCAGGTCTTGCATCCCACTGAAAATGCAAAAACCCCCCCTGCCTTCACCCCTCCTGCTCCCAAATTTAACGATTAAAAACACTCCCCCCTCCTCCCCCCCCCAACACTGTTTGTGTTGTTTTTTCCTTTTTTTTTGTTTTGTTTTTCTGGTTTAAAATAGTGACCCTCTCAGTGCAGCACCCCCCCAGGAGCAGACACCCTGCCCTACACCCCTTCCAATTTTGTTGTTTTGTTTCGATTTGTTTTTGTTGAGTTTTGGGTTGGTTGGTTTGTTTGCTTTTGAGATTTAAGTTCTATTTGAATCCAACATTTTAGTGTTTACCCCTCGGCGCAGGTGTGAGTTTGTCACTTGGGTTCAGTTGATGGAGAAGGGTGCCCTGCCTGAGAGATGGCACGTGCTGGAGCAGGAGAGCTATAGGATGGTGCAAGGCTTTTTGTCCTTAAAGGGGTTCTCAGAAGCTGGAACTCCAACCAGCAGTGGGTCACTCCTGGCATGTTGCTCGCAGTAATTCATGAGCTCAGAAGATGCTTTCGAGACCTAAAAGTTGCAAGAAAGGAGAAGGTGAAGGGACAATATCCAGGTGAAGGCACCGAGCTCAGCCCATTGCTCCCCAAGGCTGGTGGGTCCTTCACTTGGGACCAGAAGAGGAGGAGGAGGTGGAGGAAGAGGCAGGACCAGACTCCCCTGAGCACCCTGGGGAGGAAGCCAACCCGACTGTGGTTCAGCTTTTTGTCACAGAAACTTTTGAGGAGATGGTGACACACGAAAAAAGGGAACTGGATGTGGAAAGAAAAGCCAGTTTGTAAGGTCTGACATCACTGAGTGGTGAGCATGGGAAAAGTACACCCAGCCAGGAGCAAGATTGGGAAGGAGATATTATTGTTCTTATTTTGAAGGGCTTTGGGATGAAAAAGAAAGGAAAAAACGCCTGCTTGAGAGCAGCCCATCCTCTGATGTTAAAAATGGAGGTTTTGAAACCCTCAGAAACTATTACTTAAGGCTCTGCCTATTTTAGTTCAAAGGCTTCTGGGAAGTGAGAGCCCCGAGCAGGGGGGGCGGAGGGGCCCGGCAGGAGCTGCAGAGCAGCACCAGCACAGAACACAACCAGAGCCCAGCTGGGCCCAGATGGGACCTGTTGTAGCCCCTGAGCCTCATGGCAGTGGCTCCCTCCCTGGGATCCCTCCCCAGGCTCCCTGTGCCCCACAGCCAGGCAGGGATGGGCTGGAGCTGGAAAACCCTCCGGAGCACCTGGGAGCGCCTGGAGCTGGTGACAGAACCTCTGCAGCTCTAGGCAAAGCACTTAATCCCTGCTCCCACACCACGGAGGGGGGTTCCTGCTCCATTCTGTAGAGTCTCCTGGAAAGGCAACTCTGGACACTGCATCAGATGAAGCACTTTTGTGGGAATCCCTGGATATTGCTGCAGTTTTACTGAATTCCCAGCCAGCAACCAGTGCTTCTACCAACTGCTGCCAGGCTGCACTTAAACACCTTAGTGCACACGCTGGGATCTGACAGCAAAACTGCTCTGCAGAGACAAGGTCAAGGCTCTACCTTAAACCTATTACTCACCTAAGACATTAATTACCCCTCATCTGGGAGCAAAGCAAGAGGAAAGGGATGAGCTTGCCGGGAGCGCAGCTGAACCTGTTATGAGAGCAGGTGGCCTGGAATCCTCCCGCACTCCTTTAAAGCTTCTTAAAGCCTGTTCCCCTCATCTCAGAAGTTTATGAGCTCGTTTATCTGCAGGCAAACGTGTGTCTCCCACCTCAGCTGCAAGACTTGGTGAGCAAGAGCTGAGCAGTGGGTGCTCTTTGACTCTGGGTGTGTGGGGCCGGTGGTGCTGGAGCTCATCCCAACAGCCCTGCTGCTCTGCTCAGCCTGAGCAGCAGCACAGGGTGGTCCCACCACTCCTCTTTCCCAGCAAAGTATTTCAGACAGTCCCGGCTACAAAGGTCAGTAAGTACACCCACAGCCTCCCTCCTCCTCGGGGGGCACCACTTGGGATCCTAGAGCGGAGACACCGTAATTCTGAGAGGAGTCACCAATGTCTGTGCTGGGGGAAGACCTGTAATTTATTGTGTCTTCCCTAAAATGGAAGTGCCTTCACAGGCTGCATGTGCCCAGATGAGCTCCAGAACCTCCTACAGATGCTGGTCAGCCCTTGGATCACCCTGTCACTTCCAACACCCAGGAGAAGCTGCCCAGGCTGTGACCTCAGCTGCTGGGATGCCCGGTGCCCATAGACCAGGGTCTCCTCTAAAAGTGCTGCAACATCTGAGCCAGAGACATGGCAGCAGCGTGTGTGTGCTCAGGGAAAACCCAAAGTGCACTCCCAGGAACCCTTCCCAGTCCATCCCTGCCCACCCTGGACACGTGGTGCTGCCCCAGCCCCTGGGCTCACCTTGATCCTCTCGATGCCGGCCTCGATGCGGAGCTGCTCCACCAGCTTCCGGGCCTGCGCTATGTTGTTAGTTGTTGACATTCTTTGCCATCGGCTCCAGGCCCCAGCACGAGAGAATCCTGCAAAACAAGGAGGGGGACAGGGGGGGTTGGCATCGTGCACGAAGCCACCAGGCCCTGTCTCAAAAAGGTTTGTGCCCTGGGCTGCTCTCAGCAGCCACGTGCCCAGCGCTGCCGCTGGCTCTGCTGACACCGACTCGAACATTTCTCAATCTTGCTTCAAGTTCTCCTTTCCTTGAAGCAGCAATTCTTGGTGCACCCTCTTCAGGCTTTTTAAAATTAAATTTAAAAAAAACCCCAACACATCAACAAAAAAGAACCAAACCAGTAACTTGCTGATGGGAAAGGAAAAATGCAACTTTTTCTGCAGAAAGCCCTGTCAGATGCATTCGACTGACTGGAAAAGGGAACTGAAACGTTCCAGCCCATGTAGCCTGGCAGGTGGATGGGGACACTGCTCCACTGTGACTCCTGGGTCCTCACCCTCACTTTTGAACCCTCTTTGCACCACTCCCTTTGTCCTGCCCCACTTCCCGCATCAGGATTTCCTCCACAGCCACCAGAAAGGCTCAACACTGCACAAACTCAGACCCCTCGATCCATCATTTTGCAAATTGATGCCCCTGAAAAATGCAGAGTGAGGAAGGAAAAATGAGAGAGGGTCCTGGGCTGGGCAGTGGGTCCTGGGGCAGTGAGGGCTCAGGGGCAGAGGTTCCCTGGGTGCACTGGATGGAAGCAGAGCACAGATGGGGGGATACACAAGTTTGCAGGCACCAACAGCTCAGGTCTCAAATTAACTTTCCTGGACATTGCAAAGCAACAACTGCAGGAGTTTGTGAGAGCAGGAGCCGTGGCTGTCCCGGGGCAGCAGCCAGGGCTGCAGCACCTCCCAGGCAGCCCCAGCCACGCCAGCCCAGCCTGGCTCCCTTGTCCTGACACTGTCCTCAGGTCGTTGCTTTGTGATCATCTCTGGGGCTGCTCCAGAGCTGTCAGGAAAAGTCACTTCCTCGCCCTGCCTGGCTGTGACTCAGCCCCTCAACATCCCACCCTGGCGGGGATGGGGGTGCAGCCAGGACCACCCCCCACCTCCCCACAAGCCAGGAGATGATGCTGGGAGAAGGAAAGAGCCAAAGCAAACAGGGGGGGAGACACCAGTGGTGCTCCCAGCCAGCCGCCCACCCCAGTCCTTCTGTGCAGCTTTAATTACAGGCTCCCTCAGACCTTCTCCCCAGGACCAGCAGCTTCAAAGCAGATGCTGAACTGGTGCCTTTACTGGGGGAGGGAGAGGGGGGAGCGTCTGTCCCAGCTAAAACCCTACCAGTCTCCCCTGTGTTTAGACATGAAGGGCGTTTATCCCAGACCACAACGGCGCTCCCGGGGATTATTTTCCTTGGCAGCAGGACACGTGTGCTGCCCTCGGCGAGCCCTGCCCGGCGCTGGCTCCGTCTGCAGCTCCCCAGGCTGGGGCAGAAAACAAGGGGCTCTTCAGCCAGCATTCCCAGCCCCACCACGGGACAATTCCCTGAATTCGCAGGGTTAGCTGGAAATCTCCACCTCTCCAGTCCTGGCAGATGTTGGTCAGGGACATCTGGGAAGCCAGCTGCTGAAATAAAGCCTGGCTCTGTGGAAATCATGAAATGCTTTGGGTTGGAAGGGACCTTAAAGATCATCCAGTTCCAACCCCCCTGCATGGGCAGGGACACTTCCAGGTTGCTCAGATGGGGAGAAGGAAGCAAAGCAGTCCCTGGGGGAAGGATCCTCTTCTCCTGCTCCCATTTGAGGCACCCCAAAATAGTGCAGGCAACGTTAGGATGGGGGGAAAAGCTCCATCTCAAAGTCAAGCTCTTTCTAAATCTGGACCACAGACTTGACAGACCCCCTGACTGCAAACAGCTCACTCCTCATTGACCAAACAATCCTTCACCTGGATAAAGAGTTAGCAGGCAGCTGGAGGAAGAAAAAAAAATCAAGCAATCAGACATAATTTATGTTTGCAGCAGCACAAGATCACCTGCTTGTACTTTCCCAGCTTCCTGTTTATGGAACAAGGCTGATGAATCAGTCGAGGGCGAGTTTCTTGAGGGAACTTCTGCAGCACTGGGAGACATGGCCCATGTCCTGCTGCTCAGGGGACCCCAGCCCAGCTGCAGGAAGGGTGGTTCTACTGAGGGCAGCTCAGAGAGAGTCCTGCAGCTTAAAAGCCCTTGGTGAGAGGGAGCAGTTCCACACCCTGCTCTCCCTCTGGCTTCACAGGGTCCTTCCCAAGGGTGACCCCACCAGCCCTGGCACTGCCCATATGGGTGGCCTCTCCTAGGGGAAGGCAGCAACATCCATCACCACCAAGTGCAGTGGTCCTGGGTTTACAGCAACATCTGCAGCAACAGCTTTTGCTTCTCCCCCCCAGCCACCATCACCCGGGGGGGCTCTGGGAGCAACAGCCCCTGCCCATCCAGCCTTTGGGATGTCCAGACCCCAGCGTGGGCAGCCGAGCTCCCCAGCGCTCCAGGGCAGTTCGGCTGGATGCAAAAGCTCTGAGGCTCTTCCCACTCCAGACCTGCCGAGCTGGGACCGGTACCACCCCCAGCCCGGGCTGCTGGGGCGGGTCAGACCCCGGCGGGACCTTCCGACCAGCTCCTGTTTCCGTGGTGAATAATTAACCAAGCGCGTCAGTAGCAACCGGAGAGCGGCGGCACCAAGGGCGGCCTCGGGGTTGTTTAGAAGCCAAAGCAAACTTGAAAGATGTCACTCAGGCTTACGGGGTGTGCAAATCACCCGAGAGGTGCAGGCACTGGAGAAGAGCCCGGCAGGAGCACGCGGGGCAGGCCCTTCCACGGGCTGTTCTGAAGAAATCTGTGTTTGGAAAAGGGCAGGGAGGTGACGTCTGCAGCCGGGCCTGGGGACAGGGCACAGGACAGAGGGGACACCCAGGCCTCGAGCTCATCGTCCTGCCTCTGCTCCATCCCCTGCTCCATCCCCTGCCTGGGAAGCATCCTGGCCAGCCCGGCGTCCTCCCTGCCAGGCAGGAGCTGTGGAGCGTGGCAGCCCCTGCCCAGGGCTCTTCCCTGCCCAGGGCTCTTCCCGGCACCTCCTCATGACTCTGCAGAAGGGAAACGCTGATTCATGGAAGGGACATCGTGCGTGCGGTGGGAGAGGAACCTTCCTGCATCCCTGCCAGGGCAGCTCCTGCCTCCCAGCTCATCCATCTTCCCCTGGGAAGGGCAGCGCTGCCCAGAGGACAAACCCCGTTTTTGGGAAGGTTTCCCGTTGCATTCAGGCGATTTTCCCACTGTCCTGGAAGTGATTCCAAGAGTGCTGAAGTCATCAGACTGTCCTGCATGTCTCTGGGCTCCCATCCCTGCTCCTCTGGCAGGAGCCTGCAGGATCCCAGGCTGTGGAGCTTGTCCCTGTCCCAGAGATTTCCTGCAGCAAAGATTTCACACCTACCAGATGCATTAAAAACTCTGCTGTGAGTTAAACACTGACAATGAATAAAAATTGAGAGAGCAGGAGCACAGGCAATGATTCTGTTTATCAACCAGTGGTGGTTCAAGGTCAGGGCCAACAACAGCAGCAGTGAGGGAGGGAAACACTTGCAGGCAGTAAACAGGGAGTCAGGAGTGCAGGAGGGGCAGAGGAGGCTCAGGAAAGAAGCAAACAAGTCCCGAGTTGGGATTTGGCTGCAGCACCAAAGCCCCGTGAGCCCTGCTGCCTGTTTCAGGAGAAGCCCTGGAGGACAGAGTCCCAGCAGTGAAGGGAGGATAAATCCTGGAACGATTGGGATTTGCTGTTTTAAACTGGCTTGCATATCATGACCTGAAAGAGGGTCAGGATGCTCCTCACTGTGCCCTGCAGCAGCTCAAGTCTCTGACCCAAGAACAACCACAAATATCCTCTTCTGGGCCAGGTTTCACCATCACACACGGAACATTCCCAGGATCACCCTGTTACAGCAGCACATTTCGTGTGCTCACGTTCTTCTTGTACCTTCAGCAAAAAAAAAAAGGCTTCTCAGTGTTGACACAGCAGGGTGCTCCAGGCCACTGTGCTCTGCTGTTTCCAGGGAGGCAGGGGTGAAAAGGTCATTTTCAGGGGATTGTTTTGCCCCCTCAGCTCCCAGGATCTGTTCTGCACAAACCCGCGGACGTCAGAGCACGACGAGCGCGTGATGACACAGCAGGTATCTCCGCTCCTCACACAGGTTTTCTTCCTCACAAGCTAGTTCTTGGTGTACCAGGTAGATGGCAAAGGTGAAGATTTGGGCTGCTGGAGTGGGGGGGGACAAAAAGAAAACCAACCCATCCCAGCACAGCTCCTGAGTCAGAGCGTGGAGCAAGAGCAGTGACAGCAGCGCTGACGAGCCGTGACTCAGCACCAGCTCCTGTGCAGCTGCCGCCTCCTCCCTCAGCACCTCAGCCCTGCTACCAGCTCCCTGCTTCCCAGCTCCCAGCTTCCCAGTGTCCTGCTCCCAGCTCCCTGCTTCCCAGCTCCCTGCTCCCAACTCCCTGCTTCCCAGCTCCCTGCTTCCAGCTCCCTGCTTCCCAGCTCCCTGCTCCCAGCTCCCTGCTTCCCAGCTCCCTGCTCCCTGCTCCCAACTCCCTGCTTCCAGCTCCCTGCTTCCAGCTCCCTGCTTCCCAGCTCCCTGCTCCCAGCTCCCTGGTTCCAGCTCCCTGCTCCCACCTCAGCCCTTCCATCCCACCTCCCACCCCTGCCCCAGGGGTGAGGGATCACAGAACTGGGTGGCAGCAGGACCAGGCTCTGCACCCTTCCCATCCCACGGGATGCAGGGAGGGACCCTTGGGCTCAGCCTGCCCTTAGCACCACGCTGGGATGTTACAGCAGGATGCAGGTCCCGAGGATGAAGCTGGGCTTGTCCCCACACACCTCAGCCCTGCCCCCTGCCTCCCGGGGCTGTGCTGGGCCTGGCACCCCACGCTGCTCATCTCTGACCCCACACAAACCCCTTCTCCTGGATGCAAAAGGTGCCACCTGCACCCCCTGCACCCGTCCCAGCCGGGCAGGAAGCGTCACGCCAGGCAGGAAACATGCACCAATCCCTCCAGTTTCTGAATTCTTCCCATACTTCTCATAGCTGGAAGCTGCCACTCCCAGCAGGCTGAATAAACAGGAGAACATCTGAGGGACTACCCGAGCTGGGCCGCTTTTGTTTTCCCCCTCCAGATAAAAAAAAACAAAACAAAGCAAAAATCTGGGAGATGGGTGTTTCTGGACATCCCTGTGCTCCATGAGGAGCACCAGGAGCACCGTGCCAGCAGCATCCACCACGGGGCTGGTGGGATGGGGACACAGGGTGCTGAGCAAGGGATGTGGGGAGATGGTTGGGGGAGGAAGGACACTCCGGGATCTCAGCCTTAACCAAACTCTGCTCTTCCCCAGCAGCTCAACCACCTGCAGCATCTCCAGGCCCCATGGGATGGCACCAGCTCTGGAGACACCATGGGGCATAAAACCATCCCCCACATGGACCACCATGACCACAGATCTCCCAGGCTCCATGGATCAGCAGCCTGAGGGTATCCAAGCCTGGCTGGGAAGGGCAAGATCCCAGCTTGGAGAGGGAGCAGCCAAGGGCCCCCGTTAGTGCTGCTGAGCTGCTCCCTCCCAGGGGAAGTTCCACCAAGGCCCCAGCCCAGGAGCAACACACACCTCACTGGAGCCATCCTGAGCCAGGCTGGTGCCAGGAAAGATGGGGAGGGGGGACATGAAGGGGGGCTGGAGACTGGTAACCCACTGTAAACCCGCCGGGTGGTTACTCCTTTTAAAGATGACCTCATGCTTTTTTGGAACAGAAAAAGGCTGTTGGGGCAATGGCATTTACTCCTTGTCTGGGCAGAACAAAGCAGGCTCCATTTTTCTTTTACACTTCCTGCACCAGTAGCTTAACAGCTGAATGAGCTATTGAATTTTTTCCTGAGTGCAGCAATTTTTTCCTTTCCCCCCCCCACCCCCTTCTTTAAGACCTCCAGATTTCTATGGCCTGGGACAATACTCGGGGAGGGCTCAGCGAGGAGCTCGGCCGAGGAGCCATCCCAGGATGGAGGAACATTCCTCAACGAGGCAGTGGTGGGAAGCACCAGGCTTTGCTCTGCCTCTTGCTCAGGACCAGGGTTTATCCACATCTCAGGGTTGAAACAATCCACCTTATTTTCCACACCTTATCCTGCATCACCTCCAGCTTGACCAGCACGGGAGAGGAGCAGGGACACAAAAACATTTCACTGCAGCAGGAAAACAAGTTCCTGAAGTGCCCATAAGCTCCTTTAGATTTGCAAAACCCCTCACGCTGTCCCTCCCCAGGTAAATTACAGCCTCCTTACAACAGGTTGTAACTAGGCCACATATTTTAAGATGCTTCATGTCTCTCCTGCAGCCACCAGCAGCTCCAGCCCAGCACTGACAGACCCTTTGCAGCTCCTGTCAATGGGGACAAGTCTTGTACTTTTATTAATATATTAGAAGCTTGAAATTACATCATTACTAGACCAGGAGAAGTCTGATCCACCATTTCAGGTCCATACTGGGAGCAATTTGCTCTTTGGGGTTTGTTTTTCCCCCAGCTCCAGTATCTAGGCATGTCTGTTTCCAGATGGAAACAACGCGAGCCAACGTGTCTGAGCTTCAGGGGTTTTTTGGACACACAGAAGTTAATTTGCTTTCTGCACAGCCTGGGTGGGAAGGCAACGTGTTCTCTTTTCTGCTCATGTTCCAGCACAGAAAGCCCTGAGCTTTGAATGAAGTCTCCAGGTTTTCCCCAGGGAAGGGAGCACTCCTGCAGCAGGGAATGTCTCCAACAAAAATGGGGCTTGCAGCACCAAGCTGGGCAGAGCACAGGGTCTCAGCACGAGTTTCTGCCCAATTTTTAGAGGAGGCTTTCCAGGCAGCAGGGCTGCTCCAAGACAAGGATGGCACAGCTGCTTCCCAACCTTCCTGGATATCCCTGTCACATGGCACCAGCAAGGAGCTGCAGGAGAGGGGCATGTGTCTCCAACAAAGCTGTTTTTACCAAGAGGTCCATTAATTGGTAGCTATTTCATCTCTTGAACTGCTCTAGTTTCAAACTGGCCAATGATTTTGGAAGGAGAGAGTATCCCTGGAGACCTGCAGCTCCATTTCCTTCCCATTAAAGGCAACGATTACCTGGCTGAGAGTGTAAGATCCTGCAAGATGCATCTGCCAGCCTGGCTGGGAGCATCCACCAGACCTTGTTTCTAGGGTAGCCTGAAACCCCTCCCTTCCCCAGTTAACTCTGTGTTACTGAGGCTGCTGTTGTCTCAGCTCTGCCTTTATCCTCCCCCTTCTCGCCCAGTTCCCTGCAGCAGGTTTGGTGCCAGCTGGGTGGGGAGCTCTGGCAGGGCTGCCACGGCAATTACAGACAATCACCACCCTGGTGCTGCAGACCGTGTACCCTGAGTCACTCCAGCACATTCCAACCTTATTTTTAGACCACACATTAAAAAAAAAAAAAAAAGCAAGCAGAGTGCAAAGGTAAGTATTTACAGCAGTTGCTACCTGGAGCCATCACCCAGAGCCTGTGAACGTGGTGCTGGGTTGTCTCCGTGGCTCACGTGCAGGAGCTGTGGATCCATTCTGCTGCAGACCGTGTACCCTGAGTCACTCCAGCACATTCCAACCTTATTTTTAGACCACACATTAAAAAAAAAAAAAAAAGCAAGCAGAGTGCAAAGGTAAGTATTTACAGCAGTTGCTACCTGGAGCCATCACCCAGAGCCTGTGAACGTGGTGCTGGGTTGTCTCCGTGGCTCACGTGCAGGAGCTGTGGATCCATTCCTGGTGCACGGGGGAAGTGGCTGCGCTGGCCTGTGGTTCCCTGGAGGGTCCTGGCAACCCTCTGAAGGGTCTGGAGCCACCACTGGGCTCCTGTGCTAGCCCACGGTACAAGAGAGATGGCCAGAGACCTCATAAATGCTCCACCACCTCATTTAAACCAGGCAGC